ATACATAATAAATAAATAAAATCTTAAAAAAAAAAAAAAGAAAGAAAAGAAAAAGAAAAAGAAAAAAAGAAAAAAAAGGGCTGGTGAGATGGCCACCAAACCTGACAAACTGAATTTGATCTCCAAGTTCCCCGAGGTGGGAGGAGAGCCGGCCTCTGCAGGCTGTCCTCTAACCTCCGTAAGCGTGCTGTGGCTTGTGCACGCCACATGCACACAATAAAAAATGCGTAGTTTCTGTTTTTTTGTTTTGTTTTGTTTTTTTTAAATCCAGCCCAAGAGGCGGGCGGTGGTGGCGCACACCTTTAAGCCCAGCACTTAGGGAGGAGACAGGCAGATTTCTGTGAGTTTGAGACCTGCCTGGTCTACAAGACCTAGTTCCAGGACAGCCTCTAACGCTACGGAGAAACCCTGTCTTGAGGAACCACAAAACAAACAAAAAAGGGCACAAAAGCAAACTGCTTCTTATCCCTCCCCATTTCTACCAACCCTCTTCCAAGCCACCACCATCTCTTACCCAGATTTCTGCAACAGTGTCCTGTCCCCCACCTTCCTTCCCGCCCCCTGCAACTTTGCTCACGACACCGGGAATCTTAGGTATGCTGCTTCTCCTCTGCTCCAGCCGCTCAGTAGTCCTTAGAGACGCTGCTCACCCTCCCATTGGCTCTGCTCCAGTCCCCCTGATCTGCAGCCCTCATGTCCCCTCTCATAGCGAGGGGCTCAGTTCCTTGAATATCCTTGAACATTCCAGCAAGTCACGTGCCTGAGGAGGCTGCACAGGCTGTTCCCCTGCTGAGGACCTTACCACAGCTGTACTCACTCTCCTATATCCTGCAAGTCTTTCCTGTAATGTCACCTCAGGGGGTTTCCTCTAACTGCACGCCCCATGTGATGGCTTTCATAAAGAAAACCATCAAACATACTTGCAACATGTTTATAATATTAAATCTAAAATATTAAGCAAATTATTTTTATTCATATAATTATAAGTTCACAGGAAGCTGTGGTGATAAATTGTTTGTGCTCTAACAAATAAAGCTTGCCTGGAGATCAGAGGGCGGAACTGGCATAGAGGCCAGGCGGTGATGGCACATGCCTTTAATCCCAGAACTTGGGATCTGTGCCTTTGATCCCAGCACTTGGGAGTCACAGGCCTCTAATTCCAGCACTAGGGAGGAGGAAACAGGAAGTGATATGTCTGGGTGGAGAGAAAAATATAAGGTGGGCAGAGACAGCGGCTCCCCCATTTCAGGCTGAGGAGTTGGCAAGGTAAGAAGTGGCTGTGTCTCCCTGATCTTTCAGCATTTACCCCAATATCTGACTTTTTATTATTAAGACCAGTTAGAACTGGAGATACAGGAAGCTACAAAATATTTAGCCCCCTTGCTCATTCCCTCAATAGATACGTCTTACCCAGTCATAGTACAATACCAAAACCAGAGAGAAGGTATTGGCAGTGTGAGTCCCCCCATCTGCATCTCATTACACATCTTGGTGACTGCCACCACCACCAAGATGTCACTCCATTGGAACTGTCCCAGGGATCTCTCCTTTGGGATCCTTTACAGTCATTGCCACCTGTTTTCCTACTCCTGGCAAATGCTGATCTGTCTTCCAGCTCAATAACTTTTGGAAATCTTGTATAAATGAGATTATGCTTCATGAGACACATTGAGAAGGCTAACTTGTCACCCACCATAATGCCACTGAGATCTACCCAAGTCATATGTACCAACACTGTCACCACTCTTTGTTACTGAGTAGTGGTCCTTTGAATGGATAGACTTCGGCTTGACCAACCACCTACTGAAAGACGAGTTGAGAGCCTTTAGTTTGAACCTATTTGAAATAAGGCTGCAATGAGTAATTGTGTACTATTTCTAGGCAGCTGTAAGTTTTCATTTCCCTGAGATAAAAGCCTACAAGTGTAACTACTGGCTGATAGATGTCTATTTAATGTTTTAAGAAACTATTGAGCTAATTTCCAGCATGGCTGCTCTCCTGTTACATATATGCATCAGCAATGTGGGAGACACCTAGTTTTGCTACATCTTTGTGGCATTTGGTGTTGTCAACTATTTTTTTTTAAGATTTATGGATTTGTATCTATGGATGTGCCGTCTTCATGTCTGCACACTAGCGGAGGGCATCAGATCCCATGGGACTACAGTTATAGATGGCTGTGAGCCATACCATTCAGATGCTGAGGTTTGAACTCGGGACCTCTGGAAAAGCAGCCAGTGCTCTTAACCACTGAGCTGTCTCCAGCCTGTCAATTTTTATTTTTAGCTATTCTTTTAATTTTAAAAATTTTAATGTTATGATTATGGTTGTGTGTGAGGTTACAGGGTGGGGTGAGGAGCATGGAAATGGAGGAACTGAACTCTGTAGTGTGGAGCTCCAGGCTCTCTCCTGGAAGCTGTTTTCTGGTGATCTGGGAGGACCAGGGCTTCAGGCAACAGAGAGCGCTAAGGCACTGGGAGGCAGTGGCAAGTGAAGACCTCAGGAAAACTGTTTTCAGAATAGTCTCACCCTAGAGCTCCAAGCCAGCCTCAAACTCACGATCCTCTGACCTCAGTCTCCTGAATGCTAGGGTTACAGAAATACACCATGATACCACCTTGGACCAAGCCTTTCCTCTCCTGCAGGCAGGTCTACAGTAACACTCCCAGGACTGCGTGGAGGTGTGTACAGCTTGCTCATGAATTATCAGGGAAAGAGCAAATGTCCAATCATGGACACACAGTGAGGTGGCCACAAAGCAGACCGCTGTGTATTGGCCACTATCAAAAGAAGGAAACAAATCATCCAGGAAAGGATAAACCTTGGTCTTTTTAATGTTTGGGGTGTGAAAGCAAACCACACATGTATGTATGATTTGAAATGCCCCTCCCCCACTCATGTTTTGGGTCCTTGGTCCCGGTTGGTGGCACTGTTTTGGGAGGCTGTGGAACCACTGAGAGGGGGGGCCTGGCTGGTAGGAATGGGCTGGGAGAGGTGGGCCTTTGGAAGTTAGATCCTTCTCTGCTTCCTGGTGTTCGATGGCATGCACCCCCATACCACACACTCCCACCACCATGGGCCAAGCTGCTGTCATGCCTTCCCCACTGTGCTGAACTGAAATTGTGAGCCAAAATAAATATTTCCTCCTTTCATTGTTTCTGTTGCCCTTGTAGCAGTAATGCTGCAAAGTTAACTTTACAGGAAGCTGGCATCAGGGGTGGGGCTCTTGCTGACCACTTGTCAAACATTGTTGAACACCTGCACTTTCCCTGTGTGGTTCTTAGGCCTTTAGAACTTGTTTGCAGAGGACTTTGGAAAAGCTTGCAGATATAGGCTGGAAACTCCCCAGAACACTGGAAGTGGAGGTTGATGGGTGATTCTGGGGGCTGTTGAGAATAATAGGACACTCATAGACACCAAACGATACAGAGAACCTCTGTGAGGATTCAGGTGGGGAAGGAGGAACGGGCTAAGAATTGGAGCACACATTATCCAATCCATGTTTCCTAAAGAATCTGTCTAGATTTTTCCTGTGCCTTGAAATTTTGAGTGAGGCTGAATTTTAAAGGCAATAGGCCTATTGATTTGATGGAGCAATTTTAAAGACAGCACAACATTCAGGCTGTGTTATTGTGGCATGGTAATTGTTAACCACCTTTAGCCAGGCTCACAGTGAAGATTGGGAGGAAAGAACAGAGCAGAAGGATCTGAGCACATGCAATTTGTGCACGCATCAGAAGAGTGCATTTAAAATTGCAGAAAAGTGGCCATGCTTGTTAAGGAGATTGACACCATTAAAGAAAAGGTGAACACTTTGCATGAGCCAACAGGAAAAGGTGACTTCTAGCATTTGAGGTGACACCTCACTCCAGGGTATGAAAGTGCAGATTCACTAGCAAGACTTTCCTTTCAAAACAGAGGGCCATTGGAGTGCCCTGTGGTCAAAGGGCCACCTAGAATAGTGTTCAGCTGCCCTGGCAACTCAAAGGCCACTATGGCTGTGGTGCAAGGTGGCCCATCCACTTCCCAAGCTGGCAGCAAAACTTGGCATCATAATCTCGGCCTGGATTTGCAAGAATGACAGGACAAAAATTATGGAGTCAGGGGCTGGAGAGATGGCTCAGAGGTTAAGAGCAGTGGATGCTCTTCCAGAGGTTCTGAGTTCAATTCCCAGCAACCACCTGGTGCCTCACAACCATCTATGGTGAGATCTGGTGCCCTCTTCTGGCAGTGCAGGCATACATGCAGGGAGAACACTGTATACCTACTTACTAAATAAAATTTTTAAAAATTATGATGTCATAGATGCTTCCACCAAGGTTCCAGAGAGCAGAGAAACCCAAGCCAGACGAGAAACCCAAAGCACAAAAGCCAGGCAGTGTTAGAGAGCTGTGTTCCTTCCCAAAGCCCCTGAGAGGGCTATGTATAAGGCTGTGAGGGGGAGACTAAGTTGCAATGGAGACTCCAAGAGAAGGGATGCCAGGAATGCGGGATGTCTGCTGAGGAGAGCTGTAGGAATTAACAGAGTGGAGCCAGCCCAAGAGAAAGACTGCAAACGCAAGACCCTAGGGGTGGGATTGCACAAGCAAGCTAAGCTCTTTGGTACTCCATGCCACAGGGCTTCAGCTGCCAGACTTGGAGCTACAGGAGTTAAAGTCTGCCCTGCTGGGCCCTGCTCCCATCACACCTCTCTCCCCCCACCTGCCTCCTCCCTCTTGGAATGGGAGTGTTCCCTTTGGGGTTCTGTGTTGGGAGTGTCTTTTTGACTTTACAGGGCTTCACAGTTAAGAGTCTATGCCAAGACGCAGGAAAGTTAACCTGCAGACACTGTGGGAACTGTTCAGACTTGGAAGACTTCAGGAGATGGACTAAATGCACTCATTATGCATAGGACATGGAGTAGGGAGACACCATAACCACGCCTCCTAAGGGCTGGCTACAGGTGTACCAAGGAGGCGTTCAAGCTTGGACACCTCTTTCAGATGACTTTAGGGTTTAGTTATAATAGACATAGTTAGGATGTGACATAGCAGGTTATTGTGCCTTCTTGTATTTCACCCTTATGATTGTTAATTATGGACACTTTATACTGTTAAGTTTTAATCCTCTTTTAGACCTAAAGGGGAATTGTAGGGAGACATCGTAACCATGCCTCCTAAGGGCTGACTACAGGTGTACCTGTTCACGCCCCATAGGGACAGTTCAAGAGTTGGGGGACACACGTGGGAAAGCCCCTCTTTTCCTTGCTGCTTTGGCTTGCTCTGCTTTCCTGCCGGTTGGCTAGGGGACTCTAAGTAAAGCATTTTCCCTAAATAAAATATACTAACCATTGCCTGATTACGTATTGGTAATTCGCCGCCAACATGGCTATGAAACTTGGGGCCAGGGGATGAATTTTATAGTTAGAATAAGAAGTATAGGGGCTGAAGATGTGGCTAGGGGTTAAGAGCCCTTGCTGTTCTCACAGAGGACTCAAGTTCAGTTCCCAGCATCAGTGAGGTGGCTCAGAGCTGCCTCTAAGTCCAGTTTCAGGGGACTGTGTCTCCCTCTTCTGGCCTCCAAGGTCACTGCACCCATGTGTACATAACCCTTCCCCCAACACACATACACATACATTTAAAAATGAATATAAAATGTTCTCCGCAGGCAGAGGTTTGGCAGGATCTAGAACCGTTTGGGAGGGGGGACCTAGTTGGCTGCAGTGGGTCACTATGGGTGGGGTTTAGAGGTTACATCCATTACTCTGTCCCCCCCCCCATTTTATATGCTAAGCACAGCCTATGCCACACACTCCACCACCACAAGCCGAGGGGCTCCGCAATGGCCCGGAGCCCCTGAAACAGTGAACCAAAGTAAACCTTTCCTCCCTCAAGTTGTCAGGCGTCGTCCCTGTGAAGCACAAAGTCACTCATCCACAACCTCCCTGTGCACACAGAGCTCAGACACAGCACACTACCATACAAAGTGCACAAATGCACCCCCAGCATCAAATGGGAGGCCAGGGCGTGTGAAGGAGCCATGCCCTCTGGACTGGGCACGTTTGGGGAAGGTGCTGCCTGCATGTATACACGTGGAGGTCAGAGGGCAGCTTGAGGGAGTTGGTTCTCTCCTTCCACCACGTGGGGCCTGGGGATGGAACTCAGGTGGTCAGGCTTAGAGGCAAGCACTCCTACCCACTGAACTGCCTTGCCCTGGGTTTTGTTTGAATTGTTATTATTTCTGCTTCAAACACACACAAATATGTTTTAAGCAGGACGGTGGTGGCACACGCCTTTAAACCCAGCACTCAGGAGGCAGAGGCAGACAGATATCTGTGAGTTCGAGGCCAAACTGGTCTACAAAGTCAGAGTGAGTTCCAGGACAGCCAGGACTACACAGAGAAACCCTATTTCGAAAATAGTGTGTGTTAAATATTTAACTTTTTACTTCTTAAAAACATGGTTATTGTGTGAGTGTGAGATTTGGGGTACATGTGCGTTATGCCTGCACATGGAGATCAGAGGACACTTTTGGGGGTCAGTTCTCTCCATCACTGGATTCTAGGAATCAAACTCAGACCAGCGTTTTTAGTATCCCAGCCCTTAGCTATTTTTAACTGGTGAGAAAGAAACATTTTGCTAGAAAGAGATTTGGGGTCAAAGACCTTATATTTTAGATTTTTTTCCCCCTGAGTCAGGAATGGCCTTCAACTCCTGACTCTCCTGCCTCCACCTCCAAAGTGCTGGGACTACAGGTGTGTGACACTTCAGCTAGCTTCTGTGGCGCAGGAGGCTGGGCAGTCAAAGCCAGGGCCTCTTGCTTGTGAGGCCAGGACTCCCCCAGATGAGCTAGTTGGGTTTGCTGCCTTTGCTTTTTAAATATTTTGTAACATCCTTGTGATCAGCCCTTAGGTCACCAAAAAGACTAAGCCAGGATTAGGGGACAGGAATATTTAGTCCCACTCCAAGCTCCACAGAGGGAGGTGGCAGAGCTGGTGGCCACTGGTATTGTCACCCCTCCATGGGGGGGGGGCTGGGCGTGTGGGAGAAACTGAGCAGTAGGGTTTGGCCTGCAGAGAGCAAGCTCCCATCCTTCTCCCAACCTTGGCCTATTTCTCTTCTCTTCTGTGTGGCTGCTGTTGAACTATGGCACCTGGTCATTTCAGCACATTCTCAAGCCTAAGGTGAAGGCATGGTAACCCCAGCTTCACAACCAGCCTGCCACCAGGCGGACAACATCTAGCATTGAAATGAGAGGCTCCAGGGAGTTACATGGTTATTAACTCCAATTGTGTGTTACGTGCTGGTGTTAAAGACTCTGAGGGGCTCTCTGCTCTTTGGGGGTCCGGGGCCATCCAGATGTGTGGGGATGAGAGTGGCCTTGAATAAGCAGACCACCATCTCCTCACTTATCTCTGGGTTAGAAACTCAGATTCAAACAAACTCAGATTCAAAGGGCCATTCACCCTATGCAATTGAAGGACCCAGACCCCAGGAACATCCAGTGACCCCTGTGCAGGCTCACCTGGATCTTGAACCTGAATTTTCTGATGCCAGAGAACGCTTTGAGGGCATTCAGAGCTTGGATTTTGACACTGTTGTCATTGTCATCCAGCATTTCGCCCACCAAGCTGATGTCATCGATAGTACAAGCCGAGGCCTAGAGAGTGTGAGGAGAGACAGGAGAAGCAGGTGCCCTGGGCCCACTGTCCCCCGAGTCTCTGAGACCTCCCTCTGCTGCCACCAGCCAGAAGGACAGGTCTGAGGATGCTGCCTGGGCAGTCCTGGGGTTAGGGGTGAGTTGTAAGCCAGGGAGGGGCAAGACTGACAGGGAGGGTCTCCCTCCTCACCCCCCCACCTCTCCTCACCTCGGCCTCCAGCAAGTACACACAGCGGGTGATACTGTGCAGGATCATACTCTTGGCATACGTATCCTGCTTGCACTCTAGTGAGTTGAAGAGTTTTCGAATCTCACCCGAGTCCCGCCCGTGGCGCTCTCTCTCGATGGCCAGGCCTAGACAGCACCCAGGTCCACAGTTCAGGATATGGACTTAGAATTGATGAAAGCCAGGGGCTGGGAAGTGGCCGAGAGGGAGGAGCTGAGAACAAAGGCTTTTCTAAAATGAAGGCTTCTGTTGTGTCCGGCATTTCGTGCACTAGCTGCACAGAGTAGTCACCGCACCAAGGACCGCGACGACGCTGAACCATCAGCCTTGTCCTGCTGGATTGTCTGTTCACAACCACAGCTTTCCTGGTGTACAGCAGTAACAGGCAGTGCTTGTTCTCACCGATACCCCGGCAGATGACACCAACAATCTCAAAGAAGTGACCCTTTCCCTGATGGCACAAAGTACCCTATGGGGACTAGAGGGATGGCTTGGTGGTTAAGGACACTGGTTGCTCTTCCAGAGGACCCAGGGTCGATTCCTAGCACCCTCATGGTAGCTCACAACCATCTGTCACTATAGTCTGGCAATCCAATACCCTCTTCTGGACTGAGGGCATTGCATGAAAGTGGTGCACATATGTACACACAGGCAAAATGCCCAAACACATAAAATAAAAATTTAAAGTACCCTATGACCAAGTAAGAAGCTTTAGGCAAAAGGTGCCCCCAGCTTCTCTTTCCCTCAATGTCTCCAATTCCTGGGGGAAAGCAAGATAGATAAATCTCTTGATTCCACTTCTAATACACAGATCAGAGAGAGTGGGGTCCTGGGAATGATTCCTGGGGTCCAGCTCCATAAGCTCTGCTATCTTGGGACCCCCCAAACTATCTTCAATAGCAGAGCCTTGCCTCAGGTGCTGAGGGGGAGGGAAACTGAGGCAGGCTGGGAGAAAGAAGGGAGAGAGGAGTCACCTTTGGGCGTTTCCCCAGGGGAGGCCTTGGGAGTAGGTACCTCTTGGGCAGATCCCTCTCCCCAGGGACTGGACACTCACGGGCGATGCAGATGGGTGAGTTGGAGCAGAGGGGCGGATGACATTGTATGCCAGCCTTGATGGCCTTGTACAGCAGGTATATGGCCCCGGCGCCTGTAGCTAGGCCCACAACGCTTTTGCGGAGGTCCAGCTCCTGCAGGCACCGGGGAATGGTCTTGCCCATGTCTTCAGCGCTGCCTTGTGTCTAGGTGGGAGCTAAGTTCAAGGCACCTGCAGAGAACATTCTGGAACCAGAACCCTGGCAGGGCCAAGAACCGGGGTACTAGAATTGGAACCTAGGCAACAAAGGAAACTGGGGTGTTGAGGGGGTTAAGGGTGGCCCTCAGGGAAACCGGAGGCCCAGAGCTCGTCAAAGGAGAGAAGACTGACTGGGCTTTGGGAGGCTGTGGAGATAAAGCTGGAGACTCTGGGGTAGAAGGTAGGGAGGGCTTGCGTGGGGCTCAGAGACAGTACTTGCCTGGCATGGGCAAGGCCATGGGCTCATCACAGCACATTTTTATATACTTTTCATCATTTATATCTTTATAGACAATATCTCCCTATGTAACCCTGGCTGACCTGGAATTCAGTTCTCCTTGCCAGGGTTAAAGGTGTATGCTGGGAACTAAACTCGGCTCCTCTGGAACAGCAAGTGCTCTTAACCCCTGAGCTGTCTCTCTACCTCCTCGCCTTTGTTTTTTGAGACAAGGTATCAGCTAGTTCAGGCTGTCTTCCATCTTACTGTCTTGTTAGAAGAATAACCTTGATTGATTCTCCTGCCGCTACCTTCCAGGTGCTTGGTGGGTTACAAGTGTGGGCCACCATTCCCGACCTGTTTTGTTGTAGGAGTGTGTGGGAGGTGTGTATGCCTTTATGAACATGTCTGTGTGTACACCTGTTTGCGGATGCACACTCAGGTTTAAATGCACGTGTACACTGGACAGAGATTAATATTGGTCATATTCTTTGGCTTTTCTCATTATATTTTATGTACATGAACGTTTGTTTTATTTATTGCATTTTACGTATATGAATGTTTTTGCTTTCGTGTATGAATGTGCACCCATGGAGACCAGGTCGGGAGAGGATATGCGATCACTGGAATTACAGACCACTGTGAGCCACCATGTAGGTGCTGGGGCCTGAACCTGGGTCCTCTGCAAGAGCAGCCAATGGTCTTAACCCCTGAGCCGTCTCTCTCCAGCCCCCAGCACTAGAATGTGCTTTCTTCTGTGTGTGGCTTTGTGCACATTAATCACAGGCCTTCAGAGGCAGCTGGCCTCAGGTCTTCTTGCAACTGTCAGATGTGGGTGCCGGGAACTGAACTTGGGTCCTCTGTGAGAGCAGTGTGAACTCTTACTTAACTACTGAGCCATCTCTCTGGCCCCTCTCTGTCAGACTGTTCTCAGACAGGGGTCTCTCACTCATCCTGGGGCTCACTGACTTGACTTAACCAGGTGGCCAGCTAGCCCCAAGGATCCTCTTGTCCCCACCTCCCCAGTGCTGAGATTACAGGCACACACTATTGTGCCTGGCTTTTTCCCCCCCACCCCCACTGGGGATCAAACTTAGGTCCTTGTGCTTGCTTGGCAAGTGCTCTGCCCACTGAACTATCTTTCCAGATCCTGTTTTATTTTTAATTGGCAGACATATTTATTGTTTAAACTGAGGGAGTTCACTATGACATCTTCACACGTGTGTGTTTACTTTGATCTTATTTATATATTTCCTTTTTCTTTGAGCCAAGTTGGGGGGGGCTGGCGGTAGCCACTAGAGGGCAGCAGAGGCCCACTTCTGGGCTTGGGCCTTTGAGGTCCCCCCTCCAGGGGAGGGGGGGGGCAACTTCCAAGCCCATCTGTTGATCTCCGTCATGGGACTTCTGCCACTGTGTTCTAATTTGCTTTCTGTTGTGATAAACACTATGGCCAAAACCAACCTGGGGAGGAGATGGTCCATTTGGCTTACACTTTCAGGTCACAGTCCATCATTTGGGAAATCAAGGCGGGAACTGAAGCAGAAACCATGGAATTTTTACTTTTCTAGCTTGCTCTTTGGCTCATGGTCAGCTAGCCTTTTCATACAGCCCAGTTGCACCTGCTTAGGACTGGTGTCTCCTAGGCCAATCAGCAATCAAGAAAATGCTCCACAGACATGGCCACGGGCCAATCTGATGGAGGCCAGGCTTCATGTGAAGAGCCTTCTTCCCAGGTGTGCCAGGTTTGGGAGCAGACTCACTCCTCCCAGGGTCTCCCAATCAAACCCAGAGCACTCAGGTAGGGCTAGTTTTGCTAGCAAGCTTACTGAGGGATCCAGATCTGCCCCCAGAGGCTACACCACAAGCACACAAACACACACACACACCCTACACACACACAAACACACCCAGCATTTACTGAACTCAGGACTTGCCACATGTAGGCAAGGGCCCTACCACCCAAGCTACAGCCTGCCCCTGCCCCTACCCTGTGGTAGCTTTTTAACTTCCGGGTTTGATACTAGTCAGGTGTTCAGTGCAGGTTAGTTTAGTTGATAACGTTGGCATGGGTGCTGGTCATGCCACCACGGCTCAGAGAACCAGTACAACCACTAGGTTGTATGATTTCTGTGTTGAGTCCACCCACTATGGAAAGGGACCAAGACCCAGTGCATGGAGTTGCCTGTGGAGACTGAACCCAGGGATTAAGCAGCACAGAGTTTAACAAACACTGACTCTGGTCATAACTAACCCCCCAAGCCTAACTGTCCCCTAGGAGGCATCTTAGATACCCCCACTGGAGATAAACCACAGGCACATTCCCTGAGCCCACTTGGCTGGACTGCTGCCCGTAAGGCCCACCATGCACCTGTGCTTCCAAAGCTACTTCCTCATTTTCTTCACCCAAGCGTGGACCATGGGTGTTTCAGTGTCCTCAGGGCTTCAGGCTCCGTTGGGGGCCTGGTAGAAACCAAGGGGTACACTTCTGTAACCCCAGCACTCAGGAGCGGGAGGTCGGAGGACCAGAAGTTCAAGGTCATCCTTGATAACCTAGCAGTTTGAGGCTAATCTGTACAGCAAAAACTGTTATCCACCGCAGCATTGCACCAGCTAGCAAGACTGTCGGTCTTTCTGTTTTGTTTTTCGAGACAGGGTTTCTCTGTAGCTTTGGAGGCTGCCCGGGAACTGCCTCTGTAGACCAGGCTGGCCTCGAACTCACTCTGCTTCCGAGTGCCACCACCGCCTGGCTGGCTGTCCTTTTCTGGTTGGATCACCAGGTAAAGAATATTCCTCTAGATCACTTCCCATCTTCCAATTTTTATTTACTTTTGGCTTTTTTAAGGAAGACTCCAGATAGTCCAGGATGTCTGCCCCTGACTCTTGATTGCTGGGTTTAATGTCACCAAGCCCGGCTCCCCCAAATGTTAAATTATTCGGGAGGCGGAGTGGGTGTGCGGGAGCTAAGGCACATGTGTCAGAGAACAATTGACTGGTGCTCCCACCATGTGCGACCTGGGGGGATCGAGCTCAAGTCGTCAAGCTTGGAGGCAAGAAAGAGCCTTTACACGCTAAGCCATCTTTACTTCCGAGGCCTGTCTCTTGGGAGCCTTATCCGCCAAGGGTTCTGAGTCTTCACTACACCAGTGAAAAGCCCTTTGCGGTCCGGCCGATCCGGGTTCTAGCCTCCGCAGTGGCAGTGTGGGGCTCGTCAAATCCCAGGATCAGCGTTTCCGTGTCGGCTCGGAAGGAGCAGCCAGCAGGACTGGCCCAGAGAAGGTGCCCACCCTGTCGGTGCGCCACGCAGAGACGCCTCCCCATCAGTATTCAGAGGGAAAGGCTGGGGGCGCCCGTGCCTCGCGGGCCGCGGATCCCACGCTCCCCGCGCTTA